TATTTTTTTATATATATATATATATATATATATATATATTAATGGAGTAATTTTTTTTATCATTCCAAAAAAATTAAGACAGAAACTAAATTCTAATTAAAGGCATGCTCGTACCATCTGCTAACTAATCTGCACATTAATTGTCCGATATGTAAATATGTGGGAAGAAGACATCCCATGGCATTATTAAAATTTTTAGGCATGTTTTGATGAATTTTTAAAAAAATAAATAATATTTTGTATGCATTATAAATGAACTTATATCATAAATAGTTTTATCTCATGAAAAAAAATATTTTTATTTTCTTTTTCAGAAGTGTTCTCGACTGAAAAATGGCCCTATTAAATACATTTGAAAATAAATTTCCTAATTATGATATTTTTAGAAACAGAATGTGAAGTTTTATTTTATCCCTCTTCTCCTCCATAGAATATTACTACTTGGCAACGTGACGTGATTCTCGAAAAAGAATGAAGGGACGTTACATAGCAGCGAAATTATCTGGCCGTAGCTAAAATCTATTTTCAGCTTTATAAAAACCCTGTTGGATATAAGTATAACAAGATGCTTTATTATATGATTTATTTAATCAAAATAACAAATTTTATACGTATTATGAAAAATTAATTATTTGTATTAAAATTATAATAATAAAAAAGAGGAAATTCTATGGATACATGATTGTATAAATCATTGTAGATTTCGTGAAAAATGATGGAAGAGATGGCCCGCTGAGATTGGAGAAACACCTGATATAGAAGAAAATGGAAGGAAAAGGAGAGGTATAGTATATAGTAGTAGTAATAGTAGGGAGGTAGATGGTAATGATTAAGAAGAAGAAGAAGAAGAATGAGAATGATAATAATGATATGATATACTATACTCTTGAACTCAGGCAGCCACGTGCGGAGGTAACTCTAACCATGGTTAATAGGTTGACCTCCTCCAGTAACCCAGGGCAGGGCACAGTCACATGTTGAGCGTGAGGTGTGAACAATAACGAAAACCCCCCGACAGAGAAAAAGGGAAAACCCAGCATCGACGCTTCCATTTGCAACACCTACAAAAAGAAAACTATACTATACTCTCTCACTTGTGCAACGCGGATACTGTGGTCTGCCATATACAGGGAAAAACACACACACACACACACCTAATGCCTGATGCCATGCCCATGCCAGTGTCGCCTCTTAAATGCGTTTCACTTTATTTTTGACGATTCTCCTTTACGCGTCGCAGTTTTCTGACGCTCTCTGCCACCTTGGTCGCTTCAAACCCTAGAACGACACGGTTACCGGAGAGAAACAGAAATGCATGCCATTGCCATGCCATGGAGCCATGAAATGAACGAATGTCGTTTTAGTTTGATCCATCGCCGTCTTGCGTTGCGTTTCTCCTTTTAGGTCTCGCACACACACGTAGCCCTGTGACACTCACTTTCCCTTTCTTCTCTCGTCTTTTCCCGAATCGACGCCTGATTCCTGCTTCGTTGACTCCTTCCATCATCATCTGATCGTCTATATATCATCACGACGCTTCCTTTTCTTATGCAGATCTACCACAACATCTCTTCTTCCATGATTCCTTAGTCTCGCCTTCCACCTACCAAACGACTCGTCGTTGCTGCTGCTGCTGCTTCTTCGTTCATGGAACGGAATTCGGTTCGCCGAATCGCCGTGCTCCTAACCGCCTCCTCCTTCTTCGCCCTCGGGCTCCTTGCCGTTTTCACAGGTGCGTGTCGTTTACTCGCTTCGCGTGTTATTTTATTTGTGCTTTTTTCTATAATTGTTGTTCTCGTGTTGATAGGTTTCGGTGGTGGAGCCGTGCTGTCTGTGTCGCTAGAAGGAACCAACACGCTCCCTGGTTTGCATCGCAAGCTTCTTGATCATGGTATTTTTTCTTCTTCTTCAATTTTTAGTATCAATTTGTGACTGATTACTTGTTTGTTTTCTCTGGGAGAACGAGTTTGTTATCCTTTTTTGAGGTTGCCCTTTTTTGTTATGTTTTCTTCAGATATACGCATTTGCCATATTTGTTTGTTTGTTTTCGCTGAATGGGAAACGGTTGCTCAACACCGTGCAATGTTCTCTCATAATCAAAATGCCATAATTAAAATTTTACCCATTCAATAGTAATACTATTAGCGCCAATTTCATGCCATGTCGATCAGATTACATAGAAGAAAGGAGATATCGGCATTTTTCTTGAAGCATTTTTAGAGATAAAGATTAAAAAAAAAATATTAGTTTCTATTCGTAAGTTTCCTATTAATTTTTCCAAAATTTTACTTTTAACCCATGAATAACTAGTTTTTTCAAACGCATCAATAAAATAAGATAATTATGTAATTTTGTCATTTGGCTGAAGGGAAAGTAAAACAAAGAAGTTTTTGATTAAAAAAAAAATTCCTTTCGTTCTCCCTTTAATTTCAGTTTTGAATATTCTTCGCTCTAATTTTTATTTTCTCTCCACTAGGGTTGAAAAGAGTTCCGGCTAGCTAGCACTAGCCTTTCGAATAATCGGCTTTTCATCCCAGCTGAACTTGAAAGTTGCTTTTGAGCTTTTGGGTATTGGTTGTCTCGTTGTCTGGTTTAGGATTGATTCACTTTTATATGTTTTCCGTCTTCTATATAAAAAATAACCACAATATATACAATAGGGATTTGTCGCGGCGTGGCTTCCTGCGCAGAAGGAAGCGTTTTGTTCTCGTTTCTTGTTGTACTATGAAACTGTAGATTGTCATTTTCTGTACCACACAATAATAATATTTGCATATGTAATGAGTCTGTGTGTGAGAGAGAGGGAGAGGGAATTGGCCTTTTACTATTACTAATACTAAATAGTAAATGGTAATACTGTTGTGATGAAGAAAGAAGGGTTCTTGCAATAAAATAAAGAAAAGGGTGTTGTGCCTTGTGCAGGTTCTGCAAGGGTGGAACCGAACCGAATATGGGGTGATAAATGCAGCAAGTCTGATATTGTGATCAGCCAAGGCCCCACGGCCCCACTCCCGAGTGGTATTCCCACGTACACAGTTGAGATCATGAATATGTGTGTGAGTGGATGCGACATCTCTGGCATTCACCTCAGATGCGGCTGGTTCAGTTCTGCACGCCTCATCAACCCCAAGGTCTTCAAGCGCCTCCGTTACAACGATTGCCTCGTCAATGATGGCAAGCCCTTGATCAATGGTGCCACCATTTCCTTTCAGTATGCCAACACATTCCTATATCCTCTCTCCGTTTCCTCTGTCGCCTGTGTCTGATCAATATTATTCACCACTACTCTTTTCGGTTGTTGATTGTTGGGGAGATTAATTCTTTTTGACTTGTACATACACATATTATAGGTAGTGTAGTAGTATTAGTATATGCCGACAACATCACTTGTGCACGTGATGTCTTTCAAATGTGAACACGGCAATATGCTTTGCTTGCTTACTTACCATTTTTTGATACATAGGAAGAAATAGGAAGTAGGTGAGGACTGATGTTAAAAGCTCCACACCCAATTTGCCTTGCCTTTTTTCTCTCTTCATATTTGTGGTTTTGGTGTCATTTTTCCGTCTGATTAACTGTAGAGAAACATCAGGTCCTACCACTGCTATTCAAGCAGAGCTGCTTCCACTTTAAACATTAGTTTTAGGGTAATAAAGGTGAGGGAAGAATAAGGACTGGTCCCCTTTTCAATCTGTGCCATCGTTGAGAAATCAGAAATTAAATCATAGCAGAGCAAGGGCGGGATTTTTGATATGAAATACTATGAAGCAGGTATAATGTGTGATTGTGACCTCACCCAAGGATGCCCGTGATTTGTCATAATGTCAACCACCGAAATGTAGTTCCGTTTCTTATCTGGAAACATTCATTTCATCATCATGACGCCAAACAGGTAGTACTGTATTTCTTTTGGTGTAGTATTCTTGCGCCTTTTTTGTTATAAAATATAAATATGAATTTGTATTTTTTAGGAAAAAAAATTAAGAGTAAGAGCATCAAAGAAAAAATAAGAGTAAAAGCATCAAAGCATCAAAATAAGCGGTGGCATTAGAAGTAGGAATTCGATACTTCGTCTTTTCTTCCTTCCTGGTGGGGTGGTGTCAGTGGCGTGATTTTGCCATCCAAAAGTAAATAGAAGTCATTGTCTTATTAATTAATTGATATGATAATTCTGTCGCGGCATTAATTATTATAAAGAATCCAAGTGGGATGCTTTTTATTAATTTAATGTATGTTTCTAATGATGTAAAGTTTTATATTTTTTTTAACTAGAGTTTTATATTAGTGTTTAGCAAAAAAATTTCGTTTATTTACGAAACTAATGATAGGTTATCTTTTATATTTTCGGGAAACAGTTGGACACATCAATTTTTTCTTAAGAGAAATGTTTTTTTTTAAGTTCTTTGAGATTAACATGTATTAAATTTTAAATTTGAATTTATTTATTTAATTTAATGCGAACAGATATTTATGTATTGTTTGATTTGGTGTTTTAAAGGAGAGGAGAGAAAAATATAAAATGAATTTATCATTTTATGATTAGAATAGGTCGAAGAGGAATAAAAGTAGATTTGTGGGACTAGTTGAAAAAATAACTTCCATGTCACCATCCATGAAATAGAATGGAGAAACTAATATCTCAATTTTTATGAATTTTAAATGTTTTTGAATTAAATTATTCAAAAAAATGTATATAGATAAATTATTATATTATGTTAGCAAGTTAATATCTCTAGAAGTTAAACTTAATGATTTTAATTAGTATAAAGAGTTGAGGCCAGGCAAAAACTTTCATGGTCAAGGTTGAGCAAAAAAAATGTCATGGTCAAGATCGAGTCAAAAATAAATTCAATGAGACAAAGGCAAAGATGAATTGATTGAGATAAAATTGAATTGGTGCTTGTATCGAAGTTGAGTTAAAAATGTCCGGATTGAACTCCACTCGAAGAAGTGTTAGTTAATTAAGATGTTTTGGAGATAAGTTGAATATGTCTTGGAGTAGGTTGAGCTTAAGATGTCATTGTAAGGTCGAGTCAAAAGATAAGCTAACTAATAATGAGTTAAATATGAATTATTTAAGGTTGAGTTAAAGATGTGTCGGTTAAAGTTGAGTTAAAAGTGTCATGGTCAAAGTCAAAGTTAAAGATGCCATGGTTGATGTTGAACAACAGATGTCCTAGCCAAAATTGGGGTGAAGATGGTTTTGGTTGAGATCAAGTTCAAAATACTTTTGTTGAGGCCATAATTGAGGTGGATTCATAGATATCTTGACTAAGACCAAGTTAAAAGTGTCATGGTCAAAGTCAAAGTTAAAGATGCCATGGTTGATGTTGAACAACAGATGTCCTAGCCAAAATTGGGGTGAAGATGGTTTTGGTTGAGATCAAGTTCAAAATACTTTTGTTGAGGCCATAGTTGAGGTGGATTCATAGATATCTTGACTAAGACCAAGTTAAAAGTGTCATGGTCAAAGTCAAAGTTAAAGATGCCATGGTTGATGTTGAACAACAGATGTCCTAGCCAACATTGGGGTGAAGATGGTTTTGGTTGAGATCAAGTTCAAAATACTTTTGTTGAGGCCATAGTTGAGGTGGATTCATAGATATCTTGACTAAGACCAAGTTAAAAATGTCCTAAATAAGGGCAAGCTGAAGATGTCTTGGATGAGGTTAAGTCGAAGATGTCTTGTTTGAGGCTGTGTCAATAATGTCTTAGTTGAGGTTCAACAAATGATATCATGTTTGAGGGTGAGTCAGAAATGTCATGATTGAGGATGAGTTGAAAATAAATTGGACAAGGCCAAATCAAAGATGAACAAATTGAAGCCAAGTTGAAGATGCAATGTTAGAAGTTGAGATGATGTGTTGGCTGAAGTGGAGCTAAACATGTCATGATCTAAGTGGAGTTCATGATGCATTGGTTAAGGTTGAGTAAAAGATGTCTTGATTGAGGTTGAGTTAAAAATACTTTGGTTGATGCATTAATTGAATTTGAGTTGAATATGTTTTAAATGACGCTGAGCCAAAGGTGTTATGGTTGAGACCAAGTTGAAGATGCATTGATCGAGATTGAGCAAAAGATTCCCTAGTCAAAGCCAAGTTGTAGACGTAGTGTTGAAAACTATGCTAAAGATACATTAGCCAAAGTCAAGTTAAAGAGGTCATGATCTAAGCAAAATCCAGAATTTCTTGGTTTAGGTTGAGCAAAAGATGACCTAATTGAGATTGAGTTGAAAATACTTTAATTGATACCCTTACTAAGTATGAGCCAATATGCTCTAAATGATGTTAAGTCAGTCGGTCAAAGATGGTATGGTTGAGACCAAGCTAAAGAAGCATAGTTGATATTTAATGGAAGATTTCTTTATTAAAGTCGTGAAAACATGTGTTGGGTGAGGTTGATGATGTCATGTTCGAGACTAAGTTGAAGATTTATTGGTTTAGTCAAAGCTGAAGATGCCTTGGTTTAGGCAAAATTGAAAATGCCTTGGTTGAGACTAAGTAGAAGATTACTGAATAAGGTCATATTGAAGATACTTTAATTGGTTTGAAGGTAAAGACACTTTGATTAAAGTCGAGTTGAAGATACTTTAATTGGTGCTGAGTTGAAAATATTATTTGATTTAAATATTTTTTAAGTTTGTGCAAATACAATTGTTATTTTGATACAGGTTAAGGTGGACTACCTTAATAAGTGATCTAACTTGGACCAAAAGAATTCAACCATTAGATTAATCTCATCTTGATATATAGCATATTTACTTCAACCACACCTAAAACTTCAAAAAACACAGTAATATTTTGACTCATTCTGAGAATTAATTCCCTTGTCTTTTCTGTTATGTGAAATAGGATATGATAATTGTTGTTTGATGGGTGTCGTTGGCTTCTGGTGGAAAATGGAAAATAGTCATTAAAGGGTGTTGGTATCTTGGGGATTCAAGTTTGTCACGATTGGTATTTGTTTATTATTTTTTTGTGAGGTTTAGTGGATAAATGGAAAAGGAAAGATAAAGAGTGGAGTTATCATATGTGCAATAAGATTAAGCAACACTATTATGAAAAATTAAATTGGGGAAAAAAGAGAAGAATATAGTAATATTGATATAAATATGATCTATTCATATGATATGAATCTAATTGTTATAAATTTTTTTAATTGTGGTAGACCAACTATCAAAGTGGTCCATCCTAACTTTCCTATATTTTAATCCTTACAATTTTTATTTTATCATTTTTAGATCTTAGATATTTTCTTAGTATTCTTTTTTAGTTATTTTTATTATTATCTTTATTATTATAGTTTTGTACTGACATAACTAACAAAAAAAAATACTAATTAACATAATTAAGATAAGAAAGATATTTCAAATAAAGATAATTATATTATTGTTAGGTGCATAATGTAATTAAATAATATTTTTCTTATAATTAAGTAATTATATATAATTTATTTTTAACTAAAAATATTATGAACAATAATTTTTATTACTAATATTATTCTTATTTTTTTAATTAGATAATTTTATTTTAATATCGTGCTGTTTGTTTTAAATATAATTTATTTAAACACTTTTAATATATTATTTTTGTCTTTGCATACAAAATTATTGTTTGTGACATGAAATAAAGAAACAAGTTATATTACGGTAAATCAAAATCTAAAATGAATTGAAACGTAAAAGTAATATATTAAAAGTATGTTGAAAGTGTTTCCGTATATTATAATATTTTTTAAATTATAATATATATTTTTTAAAAATTAAGATATTAATAATAAATTAATAAACGGATTAGAACTATATTAAAAGTAATAAAATTATTATTCATAATATATTAGAAAATTAAAATAAATTTTAAATGAAAATTATATATGATTAAAAGTAATATAATTATCTTAATTAAAATATATTACTTGTCAACTTAATTATCTTAACTAATCTTGTTAATTTTGTTAGTTATATCAACAATAAACTAACTGGAGTTAATACTTAATGTTAATGGTAAGGATTAAAAAGAATCTTAAGAAAATGTTACAAATCTAAAATTGATAATTGTTTTTTCGAGAATTAAAACAAGATAGAGTCATATGTATAAGGACTTAAATCATATTAAAGTCTATTTTCTCAAATAGTTTAAACAAATATTTTTGTAATAAGCATAAAAAAATACTAGTGAGATTTTCTAATACTCTCTTGTTAATATATTCTTTATTACTTGTTAAAAACCACAAAATTTGTTGAATCATATTATTAAATCAAGAAACTCATCAAATAAGACGTAAGATTACAAAATTTATGATTTTTAACAAGGTAATAAATTTTAATTAATAATAATCAAAATAATGTTAAAAAAGTGTGACTAAGATCTCTCTTAATCCTAATAACAGTAACAGTAAGCTCGGAGTTTTGATCACCCTCATTAAGTGGGCTAAACCTAAGATGCCCTAGAGCCATTTTAGCCAAATGGGCCTTGCAAATGTGGTGCTGAAACCGAGTTAAAACGACACAACATGGAACTGCGTTCAAAGTTCAAAGCAAACGACGTCGGTTCTCATATGGGTCACAGCGACGCTGTCAGGACTGTCGTTTCGGCAGGCACTAACATCCAAATTGTAATCTTGGTTCGCTTCATTACTACGTGAAGCGGGAAGATGAAGAGAAAGAGAGAAGGCAAAGAGGAGATGGATATCGTGTGGCAGACCCCAGCAAATCCCCCGCACCCGCACGATTATATCACTCGAAACGGTAACATCCAAATTTCGCAGAGATTCCACCGATAAGGTCGAAAGTTTACCGTGAAAGTGAAATATGACCATTCTCTTTTGCTTGTTGGAATTTGTGCAGGAATTCGATTCGTTAGACCATACTACTTCGAGTTCATCGCTCATGTTAGTTCTCTTATTTATTTATTTATGATTTTGAATTCTCCTATCTGCTTGTGATGTTAAAACCCTGATTAAACCCTAGAAATGCTCAATTTGTTGGTGCAGGTTAAGAATCGGTGGGCGGGGAAAACCATTGTGGATTTATTCGCTGAGGAGTTTAAAGGTCGACCTTATGAGTATTATGTAAGAATGACGCCTACTCATTCGTGGTTGATTTTTGAATGTTTGTCTAATTTTAAGTTTCGGTCATTTTAAGTGACTATGACGAGTATTAAGACCTTGAAGTGGTCATTCTTGTTTCATGAGTTGAAATTCAATCCATTATCAGAGTGTAACCTTTCATACTATCAAAATACTCAATAAAATGTCACATTAAGGTAATGAAAGTTGCTATGGTTCCTAGATAGATACGGTGCACTTGGTGAGCCATCAATAATTTATTGAATGTTGGTTTCATAATAAAATTTTGATTTTATATATTGAAGATTACCACCAGCCAGTTAACTGCACGGCGGGTACAGGACCTATAAGAAAAGGATGGGTACCGGAGTAATGCACTGTAATATTATTATTATTTGCAATAAATGTTTTTAACACTTTTTAAAACAAATTCCATCACTGACTTAATACTCCTCTTGTTGAGTTGGACTCAGTGAACTTGATGTTACCCGAGTTTTAAATTTATTGATTGTTTGTGTTTGAAATCGTAGGTTGGTGCAGTGAAATGTGGTAGGATTCAAGTAGATGGTGAGATGGTACCGGTTTCATACATTGTTAAATCATCTCAAAAGATAAGCCATTTCGTACACAGGTTTGCTTTTAATCTTTATGCTTACATTATAAGGATTTGATAAACCTTGCAAGTTGCAACTGATGTCACTGAGATTTCAGGCACGAACCACCTGTGATGGCTTGTGATGTTCCTATTCTTCAAAAAGAACCAGATGTCCTAACTGTTTGTAAGCCAGCATCTATCCCTGTAAGTATGCGTCAACAAGTGGATTAGTGAAGTGCCTATGCTGTAAATCTTTCATGTTAAGTAAAAATAAATAACAGAGATTGAAAATTCACAAGTCCACCTATTGTGCTGAAATTGAACTTTTTTTTTATTTATCAGAAAAGGGGTGAGAAGACGGGGGGGGGGGATCCAACTCTAGAGGGCTTGGTCATAGAGACTATGAAATCATGTTGGAATTATGGGGTTTTAGGTATTGAGAGAGGAAGAGGGGAATATATAAACAAAATACAAATATGATTCATTCAAATGAAATATATTACAATGTGTAAGTTCATAAAACCTAGATTATTTAACCCTTATTTATACTAATCATAATCCTATTCAATTAGGAAAACAAATTCCAATAAGATGATGAAATATAGTAACCAATCCTAAAAGATAGTGAGGAAGAGGGCAACTAATCCCAGTGGGTAATTTAAGGTATTCTATAATAGTATAGTTTTTGTTATATATACTCTTAACACTCCCCCTCAAGTTAAAGCTTGTTACGGATATACCCTCTAGAAAAAATATTAATTCAAATAATATAATTTGTAGATTGGAAAAATTAGGATGATTCTTTAGGAGTGTTGCAATACCTGCTTATACATCTAGTAAATTCTAATGGTTTCAATTAATGCAGTATCTTCAGAAGTAGAAGGCTATAATCATAATTCTAAAGATTTGTTTGTTAAATTCAATGATATTAACAGCTGATGCTTTTATGTCATTTGAATTATTTCCTTCACTTATATGAAATGAAGTCCTGAATTTTAATTGGATTTTCTATTAGATATCTAAGTAATGGTGATATACTTATTAATGATAGTTTGCTCTAAATTTCATATATGCTAAAGCTCTGAATTTTAGCTTTTACGTAGGTGCACCCATGTGGTCAATATCGAAAGAACACTGTTGTTGGCATTCTTCAAGCTGAGCATGGGCTGGCACCCCTATTTCGTATCCAAAAAATGCCTTTTGGAAATATATTTTGTATTTTATAATTATCATTAAGATAACTGTCATATGCAAGTAAGGTTTAAAATTTCCAATTAGCATAAAAAAATGTAGCGTTTCTCTTGCCCTTAATATTTTTGCATACCCTGTATCTCAGTGTCAGTCTATTTTGTGCTTGCATTTGCCTTTTATCTCTCAAAGTTTATCCATTTTGTAATTGTATTTTACCTTGACCTGATCATCAGCTGTTCATAGACTTGATCGCCTTGTCTCAGGACTTCTTATTTTGGCCAGAAATGCTGCAAAAGCTGACATTTTTAGGCAACAGGTGAATTTATGAAGGGACTTTTCCTTTTCTCTTCACTCTTCTCTTCTCTTAGAATATTAAATCTTTAATCTTAAATATAGGTGAATCTTTTTTATTTTTTAAATGACACATCTAATGAGCAACTTTGTTCATTTTGCTTTAGCGTTTGAGCTGTGTAGCTCGTTGACATCTTAAATGTGAGTATTTTTTTAATAAAAGTAAAATTTCTAACTATATAGGTGGTTCATTTTATTTAATGAAAATATTGCAACTGAAAAATTTCATAAAAAACAAGGTATACCCAGTTTATATTTTATAGTATTTTGTTACTTATTACTATGGATTTCAAAGATAATTTATTTGCCTTCTTTTGGCACTATGGTTCAATTTAAAGGTATTTTGTTACTTATTACTATGAACTAAGGCATGCTATATCAATATCTTGACATGCTGATAACACAGACAGAATTTTATATGTTTGATGTTCAATAACCATATCTGGGCATAGAATTTCTTTTTCTACTTTATAACTGTAGAATTTGATTGCTACAGATAGAAGCTGGCTTAGTTCACAAACAGTATATAGCAAAAGTAGTTGGGGCATTTCCTGAGGATGAGGTATCTTTTATATGCTTTGGATAAGATATGCTGCATATATCCATAATTGATATTTATCACTCCCGTCTCATTTTGTTTGATGTTGGTTTGGGTACAAAATTTAATAAATGTAATTAATATTTTAGATTTCATAAAATTTATTATGCAATTTCCTAATATATCTCTTGTCCTTCACATTAATTAAATTCTTTCTCATCTATATTTTTATTTTATTTTTATTTTATTTATTTTTTTTTATTTTCAAACTCCATCATAAATGGTTTAGTATATAATAGTATAAAATGTTTAATGCCTTTTGATATTGTAAAATGACAATAAAAATGTGACAGAGGGATTATCTTGGAGAAAAACCCTGCAACTGTTCATATATGATAAAAATGTTATTAATTTTCTTCTTCTTTTGGTTAACATAGTTTGGTACTTTTAGAGGGTGAATTATGGTGCAACTGTAAGGTGCTGTCTTGTGACCTGGAGGCCACAAATTCAAATCCTGGAGACAGTCTCTTTGTATGTGGGGATAAGGCTAACATATATTTATTCTCCGCAAACTCCACCCAGTAGGAGCCTTGTGCACTTGGCTGTTCTTTTTATTGTATGGTATCGTTAATTAGGGCTATTTACTGTCTATCTTTTCTTAGGGAATCCTTAACATTTACATTGACATTTGAAGAACATAATGGGAAGTGTTCTTTTTCTAGTTATTATTTGGAATGGTAGATTCATAATGACAAACTAAAGGAAAAGTAATATAGTCTAGCAATATAACTACATCCTTATGATTATGATTCATGTTTCATAACAGGTCTGCTCATAATCATAAGGATGAAGATATATTTGCTACTTCACCAAGTTCCTTACACCTGTTTACTTGGAGTAAGTAGTTACTTTATGAATATGTTGAGAAATCCTGTTATATACTGTTGCACATAGAAACTTCCTACAGTAATAAATAACCGTCATAACTGACTAAACTGTGGAAGCAGTTGATCTTCTGAGTAGATCTGTTTCTTGGAGAAAGTAACTGATTGGGATGTGCCTAGCCATGGTCTAAATAGATAAGCTCTGTTCGAGATGCTTAAGTTACCCACTTATGAGAAGCTTTGGTCATTGGGGTGTGAGAGAGTTTTAGATAAGGGATGTGGCTAAACAAATGGATGCAAGTGTCATGAAGTTTAACATATGAAGAAGCAACGGTTTGGGCAAGCATAGTTGTTTATTGTTAAATTGGGAAAATCAGTGCAGTATTGTTTTCCATTATAAGATTACCATTGAAATTGCTATGTCCAATATCACCATCATGGGATTGGGTGTGCTGGAAATATTCTTTTATACATAAAACGTCATACTTGGTTTGAGTCAATAAGTGGATTTTAATTTTTAAGTATCTGAAAACAAGAAGCAACAACTGATTCCAATTGGGTCATGATTAACTAAAAACTCATTCCGAGATGTCTAGTCATTTTTTATGAGTGAACTTTCATTTGCATATTATGTTGATTTTAGCGATAAATAAGTGTAATTCTGTCAGTTAAGATCAAGATACTTTTCTCATTTTACCATGTTTTTACTTTTTAGCTAATTATTGATGCCAATATAGACTATAATGCACGGGAAGGAAGGAGCACAGCAGAGGTGAGGCCTTTGGTTCCTACATGCTTTTTTCTTTTTTTGAGAATTTTTGGATGGGTTTATTTTGTTTTCTTTTAGTTGATATGTTTTTACGAAGAATTATAAACATGTCACTTTGTTGCCAATCCATTTCCTATTTTCAAGAATTTGCAAAGGAATAATATGGAAACTGTTTTCACCATTTCCTTTGCAAATTCCCTAAAGCAGGAAAAATGTGTTATATTTATAACTATTAGAGCATTGAAGAAAAAAAATGCTTATATGATGTAGCTATTTTTTAGAAGCTACTTTTTCTAGCTTCTGAGGAAAATAATCTATTTCCTGCTTGTTTCTTTTTTTTGGGAAACAATAATCTATTGTTTAAAACATTTTGAACACACACACATACACATATATATATTTTAATTCTTTTTTCTTAGAAAAAGCACAAACAAATGGGCCTAATAAATTTTTTTCTCTGTAACCTTTATCCAATTGATTAACAACTATTTAGGACCTGATATAGAAACCTTCCTTTAAGTTTTTTTTTTTAGTTCATTTTAATCCATAAAACTAGTCATGGAATTAGTCAACACTTGTGCTCATTTAATCCATGTTAAGCAACTAATTTAGAAAAATCAGACATTCAACTTCAAGTATGGCATTTTTAACAAAAGTCCAGCTGAAATAAATTATAAATTGTCAAATACCTTCTTATATCGTTGCCTAGAGTTTCATATAAACATGCACAGCATTGTGTTTGTCACAGTTCAAAATATATATCTGAGAATCAGAGCAATATGTCACAGAATTGAAGATGAAAGCTATTATATCTTCCAACTAACAGGGTTAACACTTAATAAAAAAACACAAATAGAACCAACACCATCGGTTTCTTGGTCTTTGCTGAATGATCTGATTATTCTGATGTATAGAACTTTGAGAGGCTTATGACCGCCAAAAAAGCTGATTACTGGTGATCATATTGACTATTCTAATGATATACAGTTTTGGTAGCAACTGTCATTGTTGGAAGAAAACTGATGTTGATACATTTTTTTTTTGATATGTGAAAAGACCAGAAGTATCACCTGGGATATATCTGAATGAGTATATCTTTGTTAATGAAGGTTGGAGGCTCTGCAAAGGGGAAGGCTGCCTCTACAAAATTTACTCGGATTAGTACTAATGGAACTCAAAGTATTGTTTTATGTGAACCAATTACTGGCCGTACTCATCAAGTAAGGAAAATGTTGGTTGATTTGGATTGATTTTTCTTGCCATTAAAAAATTCAGCTGAATATTTGAATATGCTCTCTATTTTTATATTTTTTTTCATCTGAAGATGATGCTTTTGATCTTTATAACATGATATTTATATGTCTGATATATTTGGTTTTAACATTGCTATCTTGTGTAAACCTCCCTCCCTGCAGAAAAAATATTCTATTATATACCCATCTTCACTGACACATGCTAGCATGCTAGTGATGTGTCACAACATTCAGTGACCAACACATTCCAAAGTAGGCCACTAGCTAGCTATGCTGTTACTGTATAGGCAAATGTATGGTTGTCATTTTTTCATCTGTACAACTAATGAAAAAGAGATGCAATACAGAAAACGGGATTAAAATCACAGACGCAGTTGAAAATTTGAAGTTAACGATGACCAAAGACATCCAGCATTTTATCTTTAATTTATTATAATTTAGATATGGTGCTAACAGATACTCACCTCTGGTGTAGATACGCGTTCATTTACAATATTCAGGGCACCCAATAGCCAATGACATGCTGTACATCTCAGAACAAACTGTTGATCGATCTGTTAAAGGGTTGAGTGCTGATAGATCAGCCTGCATATCTGATGCTTCTCTGGCATCAAATTTTGATGACAAGGTGCTCAATGCATGCGAAGAAAATTCTAATGGAGGTTTTAGCATTGACCCCATGTGTACAAATTGTCCAAATTTGGCACCCAAAGGGTAAGAAACCCATTATCTTTGAAAGCATTGTTTGCTGCTTGTTTGTATTGTACATTGTAAAAAGACAGATAAGGGTTACTTGAAGAAATTTAATAGTAGATTTGCTCGTATTCAAGTCTTTTGTGCAGCTATCTAAAGTAGAACGGGCATCATAATCATTTGGTCGATGGTAGATTTTCTTGTGGCCAAGCCTTTTTGTAATTAGAGTAAAAATTAAGCACATCATTATGATTCAATGCTGCATGAGAATAATATCGGTTTTTACAGTTTATTGGGTGTGATCTCAGGAATGTGGGAATTAGAATTAGATTTGCTCTTTTGTGCTTGAAATATATGACGTAGCAAGCAGATGCCATTGTTGATCTAAATAAATATTTATTGTCTGTTTGGTGCAAAAGTATTGAGTCATTGACCATTATAAGACGTATTAGTTAAGGTACACGTCCTAGTTTATACTTCTGTTTCGGTTTTGTTCTGTGATTTTTTCTTTTTATTAATATATGGAAACATATTGTGGATTTTGAAATTTTTTTAATGATTTTTTCTATAGTAAGCATCCGGTGACTTGAAACTTGTTTTTAATATTCTTTTCTTCTTAGTAACTATCCTTGTTGTAATAAATCTCCCATAGCTTGACTACTAAATTTGCTTCTCGAAATTTGATAAATGCAGATATGATGCTGATGAAGAAGGTCTATGGCTACATTGTATTCGTTACTCTGGACCTGAATGGACGTATGAGTGTCCATATCCTGATTGGGCGAAACTTAGCTAGACAACTTGTATATATTTGACCTTCAATTCTAATACAGCACTGGTTGATCACAAGACATTCATAGATCATGGGAGGAGTTTTCCCTCTAAGTTTTTCTGGTTAGTGAAAAGTTATAATATTTAGGGACATCAATTATTGTGATTATTGATTGGTTGGCGAGGGGAAGACGTAGAAAAAACAACAGATGTACTTAGCCTTTTTTTCCTAAACATATTTGAGTGGAACAAGGAAGCCAAATTTATTAAGACGTATGTTCTAACAGCTGTCTGGACTCTGGAGTATGGACCAATTTCGAAAATTGAGTTGAGTGTTTTAGTGGTTATCTTTTATCATTTATTTGCATATGTAAGAATGATAAAAATGGATGCAGCAGTAGATGTAACATTTCCGCCGCAATCTTTATTGCTTTAACAATCTAGTTAGGGGTTTATTTTACAGTAGCTTTTAGTGGGATTACATTTTATAGTTTTAATTTAAGTTTAATTGCATTTTAATTTTAAGCACCTCTATTTGATTAATGTGTGCTTATGGTCTTCTAATTCTTTTTGAATTGTCAAATTTTTTAATTATTACAATTAAATCTTGTTAGTTTATCATAATTTTGAGGGTTTGAAAAAATTGGTATATGAAATTTGATTTGATAAATTTAAGAATTGGAAATTTGATATTATTTATGCAATTGACTAGGGTTTTAAATGAGAAACTTGCGGTTTTTCTATGTTTTGATAAATATTATTTGATTGATTAATTGGCCATAGTTGTTTTCCAAATCAGCTTTTATTTTCTACAAATCTAAACATTTGAAAAGCAAGATTGACTAATTAGTGACAGTTGAATTAAAGGATTAAGAATTTTAAGAAAAAATTATGCATAAATTTGCGCGTGACATTGTTTAACCTGTGAAAGCTGCCTTTAATACTGCAGGTATGTATTGATATGTTTAAGCTAAAATATGTTTAGTCTCAAAGTTTAATATTGTTTAGTTCCTATGATTTAAAACTTATTAGTTGTCAAAATATTAAGGATTATTATTTTAGTCTTTCTTAACTTATCATTTTGATATAGGTAACTAAAGATAAATTTTTAAATTTGAGGGATTAAAATAACTTTTGGTATTTTAAGATTAAATACACAAGTTTGTATTGAAAAATTCAAGTCTCTATCTTAGATTATTGAAAATGTGGATGGATAACCTACATTTTACAAATTGATTTTTGTAGAGTTAATTTTGTTCAAACTTACTTTTTAAGAGTTTTAATTTTGGGAGACTAGAAAAATATATTTTTTAAATCTAGAGGAAAAAAAATATAATTATTTCATATTTTTAATATCTGTCTGAAAAATAAATCGGCGAAACTTTTAAGTCATGGGTTTAGTTGTTTTTTGATTGGTATTTGGTTGTATGGTTTGATATTTTAAACATCGGTAAATTTTTTTTTTCATTTCAAAAGACTAATTGTTTTAGATTTTTTTATCTTATTGCTATAAACCATCAAGAAATTATTTTTTTATGCATAGGTATTTTTAATAAATAAAATGAGAGAAAAATAATAATAGTAGTAATACTCTGAATATTAAAATGAAGAGTAATTTAGTAAGCTGCAGTCACATTTTCATGAATTTTGAATCTCAAATATTATACATTGCTCCATGCTCAGTACCAGATTTTAATTTTATTAAAATGTTGCCTGTATTTATTTTAATTTCTTTCAGTCTAACACCCATTCCATTTCTTCGATGATGTTAACAAGGTATTCATTATTTTCGCTAGTCTGTTGCAGCATGAATTTGATTGAAGTCACAAGGGGTACACACATGCTACTTAGTACTTACAAATGCAAATACTATCTTTCGGTAGTAAATAAAGTTTGAAATCATTTTTAATAATAAAAAAAAGTTTTGAAATCATTTTCACTTTTAAACCAGAAGTTCAATGTCTTTGCATTCATAGAGTCTCCGCTCAACAAATTGACAACTGTCATATACTGTTTGCAACAAATTTTGGTCAGGGATGTGATAGCAAAAACCAAAGCTAGAGTCTCTTCATAATATATGTTGTAGAAACATTCATTAGCGATATTCTTGAGACCAAATTCTCGTTTGAGGATCTTTTTGGGTATAGATATTTGTACCCAACAAAATAAAATCTAATCATGCAATAATCCTTAAGGATCCATATTAGTGCGTTGGGTTCAAATCTACAATATCTTACCTGATATACGATAGGGCATGTGCATCTGGAGAATATCTGAAATTCTGAAATTAATTAGGTTTCATTAGATTTGTTAAGGATTAGATCGAGTTCCTCTATAGTTAGAAAACAATGATACTATCACTTTTAAGTAAAAGTAGGTTAAATTTATAAAAAGTTCCCTTTATATCTTTTTATTTATTTGTTACTTTACACATTAGTTAAAATGAGCACTTGAAACTACGAAGGTAAGTAGCGCATGCCTTCCCATCCAATTGGTTCACAAACAAATTATTAGAACATAAATCTCCTTGATCGTTGATGTGTCGCAAAATGAATTGAATAGAACCCATACATCTCCTATCACGGTAACTGTGTACGGCACAAAATAAAAAAGTAGGAGGAATAGTAAGATATGGTTGAGATAAAGCATGAGGTAATCAAAGTTTATTCATGACACATGGCACAACGCTAGTAATTGAAAAATCAAATCAATTACCAAAATCATACATATATAGGACACCATTATGAGGCAATCATTGGTACAGAGTCGAGGTTAGCCACTAGAAAACATTAAAAAGCAAAAAAATGTAATCATGCATATATCTTAGGCCAAAGTGGTAACCCCATGCCCATGTAATGAACATTGATATTTCATTTCATTGACGTATGTGAACAGAAAGAGATAAAGCATTAGAAGAAGACGGGTTTGATGAATGACATTGACAGTATAAGGAGCTTTAAATTTGTCCAAACAAAAGTGGTTTTGTTACATCACCCTTATCACTGCATGTAGGATATTTAGCACGGGAAGCACACCTAACCATGTATATATTTCTTTTTTCTTAAAAAAAACACAACCATGTATATATATTTTTTGTTCAGTGCATGGCAATGTTATCTACATCTCAACACAATCATAGGCAACTTTTGAGAATGGCCTTTTGCTCCTTCATTTGCGTAATGCCCTCTAATGCTTATCTTGAGATGCATGAGTCACCTTTCTTTGCATTATTATTCTCCTTGTGTGGCCCATTCTTTTGTTTCACGTTTGGCTAGTGCTTCTTACTCTTGCATTTTTCCTACGCCTACCATTTCTTTTTCATCACTTTGAAACTTCAATATATTGTGAGACATTTGGAACAAACTCTCCTTCATATTTTTTCATATCTTGTTCAGAACGCGACATCGTACTAAAAGCAGACACAGATCCACCGCACAAACATAAATCATCAATCCATTTCTCACGGAATTAATTTCATTGAGAGAAGGAAAGGACCAAAAAAATCCAAATTGTCTTCTACTGTCCACCTACTTTCCAATTTTGAATATACGTAATTAAAGTACGAATGCACCAATATTATGTTTGCACATATATTAGATAATGTACTTGATTATTACTTAATGATTTGTTCATAAAGTATGAAAAAAATTATTAAAAAGAGGTTTAAAGACATACAACACAATTATTTTATTTTGGGATAATCACTATACCTACCCTAGAGCTACCCTGTATCGGAGGCTAGCTACCATGAAACATTATATGGTGGTGGGCGGGGGGTTAATAATCGATCACAAAATATTATGTACCCTTTTTTAAATATGTATGAAAGAGTTCCATAATTATGTAAGAAAAAACAGGGAGTTCAATAATGGTTACATAACATTTATCTTGGTTGCAATTACATGGTATGTAAGTAATATGATGAGTTGGTCAATTGTGTATATGGCGTGCGCATGCACTTAAATAACCTAAGAAAACAGCTGCCAAAATAATCAGTTCGTTTTACAAAACGCGTAAAATATATTATAAAATAATTGAAATTAAAAATTCAAAAGAATTAAACTTATGTTTTGTTAGGTTATTTAAATTGAGATGGAGAAGATGAAAGAAACAAGGAAAAGCCTCTCATCATCTAGAAAGAGTATATTATAGAAGTTTAACAAACTAATCCACTATCAATAATAATTTTGGCTAACCAATCCACTAATCACTAAATGAATAAACTCAACTATCCATACATTTTTTTTAAAGTATAAAAGGATGAATAGGGAATGATACCTATAAATATTATATTTGAAGATACATATGTCGAGAATTATCAAATTATGTATTATCATCCACTTAATTAATTGAATTTTAGTAGCTTCTAATTTACTTTAAAATTTTATTTATCAAATCAAGAGTCAACAAATAGGCATACAACAAATTAACTAATACTTCTAATATTTTGAGAATGATGTTTCAAAAATGAATTCAAAGAATTAACTTTATTTAAATACTAAAGTAAAACTATTTTAAAGTGTAGTGTTTATAAAAATCAAATCAGATCAGGCAATCGAACCAATCCGATAAAAAAAATAAAATGAAAAATGACATAAATGATACGAGTCAATTGTTGGATTGAATGTTATAAAACGGATATGACCCATAAGATTTTCGAGTGAATTGACGAGTTGGCATGGCAAATTGGTTGAGTAAAGCAGTAAATTTTACTTTTTATAGAAGAAAACTATTATAAACTTTTACAAAAATCATAATTTCATGACAAAGAAATCAAAGTAAAATATATATTTGTGTATTTGTATCACGGAATCAATTTTAACATGTATTTAGTAATGAGAATAGGAAAACCTTTTAGGACAAAATAGTAAAATCAATACCAATTTATTCTCTTTTTATTTATTAATTTTTATCTTTATTTTAAAAATTATATCATGGGGAAAAACCTATTTTCTTTTTGGTAAAAAAAGGTTAAGATTAAAACAAGACATGACGAGTTTTTAGCCCAAATAAATTAAAAAAAAATTACACAAAATAAATTTAAAAAAAAAAACTAATCATCAAAGTAGGTGATTTTTGACACGAAGACAGATACGTGACATAGAAAACGCAAGGGATAGGGCAGTTTTCAGATGGCGCCTCCCCCAACGCATTCAATGGTTAACGTGGCATGGAAATACAAAGCGCAGGGGGGTGATGCGTTTTCCAGATGGCACCTCCCCCTGGCGCCTTCTTCAATTACACGACGTGGCATTTGGTTTAAATGCGCAGTGGGGTTAATGTATTTTCAAAAAACACAACCATCCCTTGCGCCTCCTTCTAGTCATCTCATCTGTTCCTTTTGAGTTCCCACTCTCCGTTCTGACTTTCTCGGTTTTTCCTTCTGCGTAGTGGGGTAAGTATTATATTAGGTTTATTTTATTTGGAATTTAATTATTAAAATAAAAAATGTAATGGCCTGA